TCAGAAGTTTTTGAACTAACATAAAGTAAGGGCGCCTCCTTTTTGTGCACGTAGTTTCATTTTTCTCGGTAATTTCTTCAAAATAATAAATATATTTTTATTATACATATTCGTTTCTTCCTCAGATTTCTAAATACATAACAGCGGTAAACCAGCATGCATCTATTTATGTATTCAATATCAAGTCATGTGTTAAAATATTCCAGCCATACTCATTGCATTTTACACACCCACATAGTCTTTTCACTTATCAAATAGTTACCAAAGATATTTGTCTATAAAAGTGTTCTAATGTCGTGCATTGAATTATATTAGTATATGTTATGCATATTTAAATTTATTTAATACTGTTGTTATATTATGACTGTTTATTATTTTTCAGGCACATAATAGTTGGAATATAACATCCAAGTGTTTGATTATATACACGGATTGATATAAAAATGTGTATAGAAAACAAATACTGAATTTCCGATAAGAAAACGACATAAAACAGAGAAAAACAGTCCTAGTTCAACACTCACTTGTCTAATTTTAATGAAAATTAGCACTACGCTCAACAGGTGTCCACAGTACATTGTGCTCTGAAATTGGTTAGTGTAATATGTATTGTTTAAGCTGTATCTCGGGTACAAACATACATACAAGATTATATTTTGAGTATAATATTGATAATGAAAGCCGCAGTCATTGCTAGAGTAGATTTTATTTATAAAGTGTGTGACGGATTACTGTACTGTACTGATGCGGCATTCACCCTGGGCGGATTGAGCCGGCTTCTTCCTGTTATGAGAAGAAGATTCTTGGGATAAATTACAGAAGTAAGGTACCCAGGCCTACTCGGATAACGTTCTTGCTTGCCACGGGTTTTCCACAGACGCAGAGACAGGAACGACCAGAAGCCGCCGGTTACCGATGCAGACGCTCCTTGGATTTTCACCAGAGCCCTTGTTAGCCGGCGTGTGTGTCAGATCTGTCCGCCTTGGGTGGCCCTACCAGGAATGAAGTTCCGGGCGGCATAGCTCTGACAGTACCGTTTACACCCCCACCCCCCACCGACTGTGAGGTAAGGGTTGGACTTTGGGGGCTTACAGTACCAGGTGTTCCCAAGCAGTCCCCCATCTAAGTACTGACCTGGCTCTACGCTGCTTAACTTCGGTGATCGTACGAGAACCGGTGTTTCAGCGTGATTTGACCGTAAGCTGATTATATATAAGGGTGTTTCATTAAAACGGATCAAAGTCAACAGTAAATAAATCAGTGTTATTGGTGAAAGTTTATTTATTTCTCTATTGGATCATGTTATTTAAGTCATGGCAATTATGTGTGAAAAATAATATCGCCCAAATGTCCACCAAATCTGAATGAAAAAGAAAAAAAATGATTAGACGCTTAAACTTAATTCACATTTAAAATCGGCCCAAGTTATTGGAACACCCTTTATAAACTACCAACAGTTTAAAGCTGTCGTTATAAATTGTAGTAGCATTATTTTAGTATTTATTCTACATTGGCATTGCATATGAATGACTAGTTAAAATCAACATTATCCAGTCAGCATAAAATATGTAAATATTTCTATATTTCTAAATCTTTACTATAGTAAAGTATGTAAGTCTACAGATTTATCAAACATTATTTTTTTTTCTTTAAACATTTCCTACTAACAAATGTGATAAAGCTATTCAGACGTCAGGTGCTACTGAAATGAAAATAAATTGAGATTACTTTACTGGGAAGAACGAACAAGAGGAAAAATAAGATTCACAACGACAGAAGAAGATGACGGTTGACGCTGCATTTAAATTGTGAAGACAGGAAAGGAAGAATCCAGACGAGAGTTCCACAAGGGATACGTACGAGAGAAGAAACTATTAGAATAGGACTTACGGTTATATATAGATACTTCAACGCTAAAATGATGAAACTTAACTGCTAATTAAGTCCTTGTATTAAATTCGTGATTTCCGTGTTTTAAAAAGACAAACTCATAAGACCAACTTCCATGTAAATATTTATAGAAAAAGAAAAAAAATCATGACGCTTAAACTTAATTCACATTTAAAATCGGCCCAAGTTATTGGAACACCTTTATAAACAATATATATATATATATATATATATATATATATATATATATATATATATATATATATATTGTGTGTATTTAGGCAGCATATTTTCATTTATACACGTTTCATTAAATAATATAGACAAGTGTTGTCTATTTATTTTATGTAAAATTTTTTCGTATCTTCTGATAAGTTTGATAACATTATCATTAAACGAAGAAAGAAATTCACAATATTTATCCATTATTTTTAATATAATCTAAGCTTTCGGCTTACTTAAGCCATTATCAAAGATATAAATCACAAACATATTAAACAATATACGGACACGACAGTGATGATAGTCTGTCATTGTTTAGTTTACATAGTGGATCACTAAGCAACGATAAACACGCGCATATAAGACGCTAGAAGCGAAAATCGCATCTCATGACGTCACACATGACTACACGAGAGTGAATTGTAGAATGAAATAAGGAAAGCCGTTGGTATAAACCAATGGCTTCTGTTACCAATTATAGAAATTATAGACATTTAAGAATATTTGTAGAGATTCCATAGTTGATTTTGTTTTAGGTTGGGTTTAACTGTTTGATGTATAATGCTTCAAGTATTTTTAGTTTTTTGTCTATTGTTTTCATGTCGAAGTATAGTTGTGTTTTCGACAAGTATTTTACGGAATTGTGTGTGCGGGCAGGCATGTTGTTTTAAATGCCTAAAAATGTTAGAGTTTTCATTAAAATTTAGTGTCAAGCGTCGTGAAAGGAGTTTGTGGTGTGACCAACATAAATATTATATATATATATATATATATATATATATATATATATATATATATATATATATATATATATATATATATATTTGTGTGTGTGTGTGTAAAGCTGTTTCATTAAGACGGATCAAAGTCAACACTAAATAAATCAGATTTATTAGTAAAAATTTATTTATTTCTCTATTGGGTCCTGTTATTTAAGTCATGGCATTTATGTGTGAAAAATAATATCGCCCAAATGTCCGCCAAATCTGAAAGAAAAAGAAAAAAACAAATCATTAGGCGCTTAAACTTAATTCGCATTTAAAATCGGCCCAAGTTATTGGAACACAACAGTCCCGGACAAATCAAGTTTACTCACGCTTTCACTTAAATATTTTCTCACTCCACCCATTATATTGAACAGCTTGTCTAAATAAGAAAGGCTTTAATTTTTCTATAAATGTCCCTCGTATTCTTACAGCGTTTGTTTTTCTAATGGCTTCTCCCTGTCAATCTTCTCGGTGCCCAAGATATCGGCTGTCTTTTGTTCATTCGGGACTACTAGCATCGCCATCTTGAGTGTTACTTTCCCGTCGTTCGTTTGATCAAAGATGTGTCCGACGTCGCTGATTTTAACCCCAATGTCAACGACACTTCATTTGTTGGATTCTGTTCCCTGCCACCTTTTTGTTTCGACTTCCATGCACTTTGCGACTTTCACTCTTATCTTTAATCAACCGTTTGTTTTGCATCTTTCACGAGATTGATTTGTAAGGAAATACTAGAATTGTTTTTCTTCTTTTTCTCTAATTGTTCAGCCAATACAAGGCCCAAGAGCCGATCAAGGTAGAGGCCTACTGATATTAAGTTTGTTGGACGAATGTAAGAGAACGACCTCAGATTAAGAGGGTATTTTGGATATTATAACGATCGGGAAAGCATCCTCACTGGAGTTTCTTCCAGAAAGAGCCTTCTTCTAACAAACTGAATGTGAAAGGAATGAGAATAATTCTTTTAAGTGTGCATGGCATGACGGCTGGTCGTTATGAGGGTCAGTTCTGGTGAAATTAAGGAATAATCTATGTCACAAGATTTGTCTTTGAAATAGCGATCGAGTGGCGAGAGGCTTCCGACGTTTCAACTATTGGACAGAAAGATAGGGTGAGAAATAATTCTTCAGTCACAATGTTACAGTTTTTTGGGTATATGTACTAGTGAGCCAGTCAAAATTAGCTGACTCATTTTATAGTTCACCAATAGAAGGGTTAACCAATCAGAAAGCTCACAATATTCAATGCGACATCTATAAAGGCAGCCATTTTATTTTTTCTCCCAAATTATCTTCACTGCCAACCTGATATCGAAGACTTAAAGAATTAACTGCCGCTACTTTCTCCGAATCTACACTGCCAACTTCTGATATTGAAGAGATTACGAACTTCACCGGATTCCATATTCAGAGACTACGGCAAACAAGGTCAACACTAAAGGCTTTTTTTGAACTTTGGAGAGTGATGTGGAAGCAATATTCCATTTTGGATCTGATCGAACTATTGACTTCTGTCTTAGCACTAAGGCTTGTCTTGATGATGCAATTGCAAACCAACTGATAGAGACATAGAACTACAGTAAAACTTCGGTCAACCCCAATGTTAGTGCTTGTTCCAGATTTTATAACACAGGAATCATTGACGTCGTCATGAATACGTGGCCCAATGAAGGAAAAGGTATTTACTTTTACGTAATAAACATTACAACTTAATCTCAGTTCTCGTCCCAGTCTTGAAAGCGAGTTCAACAGCGTTATCGCGACCTTGTGAGAGACGAATTATTTCTCACCCTAGAGCATCTTTCCGGTAAACGAAACATCGCATGCCTCTCGCCATTCGGTCGCTATTTCAGCGTCTTTCAACTTAATCTCCGTTCTTGTCTAAGCACTCAGTTCAGTGGCAAAGACTCGTCAAATACATCGGATATGATTCAGTGAAATGCTCAGATACATATTCAACTGAAAACTTCATGTTAAATAACGGACTTACAAATGAAGAAAAACGCAGAATAGTAGCAAATATTTTTTAAAAGAAGAAAGAACAATTGAAATGGAACACATTCAGTAGGAAATGTACGAGGAGAAATGTGAAAATTAAAGCAGTTGTCTTCCTGCCGCTCAG